GACCTGTGGTATGGGTTGTAAATTGTGATACTAATCAGGCGCATGCGTTGTTGTTACATTCACTTTTTTAGCTAATGATTATTGTTAACATTCATAGCATCGCATAGGTATATGCCAACAGGTGAATGTGTATTTAGGGCAACAGGTAAATGTGTATTCAAGCCAACAGGTAAATGTGTCTCTAGGCCAACAGGTGGATGTGTCTTTAGGCTAACAGGTGGGTGTGTCTCTAGGCCAACAGGTGGATGTGTCTTTAGACCAACAGGTGGATGTGTCTTTAGACCAACAGGTGGATGTGTCTATAGACCAACAGGTGGATGTGTCTATAGACCAACAGGTAAATGTGTCTTTAGGCCAAAAGGTTGATGTATCTTTAGGCCAACAGATGGATGTGTGATGTGTCTTTAGGCCAACGGATGGATGTGTCTATAGACCAACAGGTAAATGTGTCTTTAGGCCAAAAGGTTGATGTATCTTTAGGCCAACGGATGGATGTGTCTATAGGCCAACAGGTGGATGTGTCTTTAGACCAACAGGTGGATGTGTCTATAGGCCAACAGATGGATGTGTGATGTGTCTTTAGGCCAACGGATGGATGTGTCTATAGGCCAACGGATGGATGTGTCTATAGGCCAACAGGTGGATGTGTCTATAGGCCAACAGGTGGATGTGTCTTTAGACCAACAGGTGGATGTGTCTATAGGCCAACAGATGGATGTGTGATGTGTCTTTAGGCCAACAGGTGAATGTGTCTTTAGGCCAACAGGTGAATGTGTCTATAGACCAACAGGTAAATGTGTCTATAGGCCAACAGGTGGATGTGTCTTTAGGACAACGGATGGATGTGTCTTTAGGTCAACAGGTGGATGTATCTTTAGGCCAACAGGTGGATGTGTCTTTAGGTCAAAGGTTATTGCTTGCGTTAAACAGTGAATCTGGTTTTATGAAAATAATTGAATGTGTCTTTACATTTAATCGTTACTCACCGAACATGAGCTGTATTCGAGGCTACTTTTGTTAAAAGACTATAACCTCAATTTTATTAAAGGACTATGTCCTAAATTTTATTAAAGGACTATGTCCTAACTCCCTGACAAAATCAGAAAAAAACCCACTAGAAATACAAAACCTCTGGTACTAAAATAGTACACCCACGACCCGCCATCATTCGCCCACCTCACCACCATCTCCCACAAAATGCCTCACAGCTATCCATTTATTTCTATTCTAGAATGTCCCTCTGCCGGATGTATTCATGAGTTGCCAGAACAAACGTGGAATTCTCCGCCAAAAAATGTATTTCTCATTAAGCCTCGTGTCGAGGTGTTAAAAACAACGGATATTTTTATTTTTAATCTCGGTGGGTGTCGTGAAGATGGCATCAGTTTTTGCATCAATTATTCCCCAACATCACAAATATTTTTTTTTTGTCTGGCTTTGTCTTGGCCGAGCTTACACCACTGTGAAAGGATGTCGATAATAACAACACAAGCGTCTTGTAAAAATGATGGTGTTCAAAGTATAGCTGAACATAACCAATATTTGAATTTTTTTTTTAAATTGAACTTTCGTCTTTTTATAAATTAGGAAATCGTAGGGGTATGGATTTCCTAAGGCGGATGCTGGCGTGTGGTTCAAATCAGGGGACACAATTTATGTAGGTGAGACCATGACCAGAAGAAAGAAAATCATAAAAAACGTTAAAATAACAAGCTTTTATGTAATAATGCACTAAAAAGTAGAAAATAAAGGATTTTCTTTGAATAATACACTACTATTTAAATATTTAAATGTATTAAAACTATTTAAAGCGTGGGTCACTTTAGTATCTATTGAATACCTTTACTAGTATTTAGAAAGAGACCAACTCTTTTCTTTATATTTATTTAAATAGTAGTGAAATATTATATATTTAAAGAAAATAATTTATTTTCTACTTTTTACTTTCTCGTATATACGAAGTATAGAGAAAGTATTGTAATAGTGCACAAAATTCAATTGAAATTTTAACAATTTTCACCGTATTACACCTCAGTCCTTCATCACATCCGAAGTATAGAGGACTTATTTTAATCGGGCAAAAATTATCAATCCAGATTTATCAAAATTAAGAGGTTTTATGCGTAATCCAGTCTGAAAAACTGGGCTTTGCAATTCTGTCCGTATGTCTGTGTGTGTGTGTGTCTGTCCGTGTGTAAACACGATAACTTGAGTACCGTTACAGCTAGGTTGATGAAATTTCATATATAAGTATTTTATCAAAATCGTAGATCCGTATCAATTTTTGAGCGATTTCCGATAACCGGAAGTGGTACTTTTTCTACTTTGAATTTTTCAAAAGCCTATAACTTGAGTACTGTTTCAGATAGATAAATGAAATTTCACATGTAAGTTTAAGATCTTATTCTCTACCTTCTGTCAAATTTTGAGTAATTTCCGTTGCCCGGAAGTTTACGCTACTTCCGATTTCTAAAAAAACTAATGTAAATTTTTAAAGTACTAACAATATTGCGCACTATTATGCACTTTTTTATTTGGCGTTCACTTGGTGTGCAATCTTTTGTCTACGAGATTTTATTCTATTTTTAAAACTTTAAGTATTTAAAATGGATTAAAAATCATGTCTATAGCCCGAGTTCTCATCCCCTGTTGTTTTATATAAGAATATTCGAGAAAGTTTAGGGGAGATCACTCCCGGTTTATTAATGTATGATTACATAAAAAGCTTGTTATAAATAGCTTGGGTTGGGGTGACACCCTCAGTTACCGCACGGGGTGACACACATTTCCTTTTTAAAATTTATTTTATAAACAAATATACTAAAATTCCGATGTAAAAGTTGTGATTATTCAAAGAAGGAAAAGGGTCCCAATGTTCCTTGGGCCCCAATACCTTGATTATGCTAGCTTTACAATAACTACGCCGCTACCCATATGTAATTTCAATAATTTTATTAATTTTTTAAAAATTTGTGTTGCCGTGTCGCCGGCAGATAGATCTCCGTTGAAAATGTTTGATGGCAAAGTTAGTTGATTTGTTTCTACACCGTGTTAAGTTTTGTTCAGATAATTTTTAATCGGTTCTGACGTCAAAATAGTAAAAATTTGAAGACACCTATCAAATTCATGCATGATTTAGTTGTTTACACAATGCCGCCTATACTGTAAGGCTACGTAAGCCTGGTGAGGATGAAAAAGGTCCTAACGGTCTTGCAACATCAGGATTTGAACCCAGGTCCCGGGGGGATGAAAAAAGTCCTAACGTTCTTGCAACATCAGGATTTGAACCCAGGTTCCGGGGGGATAAGAAAAAGTCCTAACGTTCTTGCAACATCAGGATTTGAACTCAGGTCCCGGAAGTCTGCGTATTTTACAGAGGTGTGGTCTGATTACCCGGCTATTGACCTCTCTTCGCCAGGCAACTCAGCTCTCTCCTGAGCTTAATTAACCTCTTTATCTGATTACTGACCTGTCCGCTAGACTTAATTAACCGCTCCTGAGATTATGTAAGGATATCAAACTAGGGGCTATACTCATCTCTTTACTGGACTAAATTATGCTCACTTGAACTGACCTCTCAACTAGGCTAAATTAACCGATTTGTCAGACTTCTGACCTCTCTACTAGGCGTAGATGACCTCGCACCGTAGCTATAAAACGGTATTGACCAACCTAGGGATCTCATTGATCTTTACACTGTATGAATTGCGCTCTTGCCCACAAGAATTGAAAAATAAATCTCTTTGATAGACTACTGACCTCTCAGCCGACTGTAGTTGACTTCTCCCTATAGCTCTGTAAGGGTATCAATCTAAGGACTGTATTGATCACTTTATTGGACTAAACTGACCTCTCGCCAGACGAATTGACCTCAACTTGGCTTAATTGACCTCTCCAAGTTATAACAAATGTGTTGACATTAATACTAAATCGTTCTCTTTACTTGATTAAATCGACCTCTTAGATTCTATATATTTGATAATGCTACATTGACCTCACCACTAGCCTACATTGACCTCACCACTAGCCTACATTGACCTCACCACTAGCTTTGACCTCACCACTAGCCCACATTGACCTCACCACTAGCTGTGACCTCACCACTAGCCTACATTGACCTCACCACTAGCCCACATTGACCTCACCACTAGCTGTGACCTCACCACTAGCACACATTGACCTTAGCACTAGCCTACATTGTCCTCACCACTAGCACACATTGACCTCACCACTAGTCTACATTGACCTCACCACTAGCCCACATTGACCTCACCACTAGCTGTGACCTCACCACTAGCCTACATTGACCTCACCACTAGCCTACATTGACCTCAACACTAGCCCACATTGACCTCACCACTAGAACACATTGACTTCACCACTAGCTGTGACCTCACCACTAGCTGTGACCTCACCACTAGCCACATTGACCTCACCACTAACCCACATTGACCTCACCACGAGTCTACATTGACCTCACCACTAGCCCGCATTGACCTCACCACTAGCTGTGACCTCACCACTAGCCCACATTGACCTCACCACTAGCCAACATTGACCTCACCACTAGCCTACATTGACCTCACCACTAGCCCACATTGACCTCACCACGAGTCTACATTGACCTCACCACTAGCCCACATTGACCTCACCACTAGCCGACATTGATTTCACCACTAACCTACATTGACCTCACCACTAGCCTACATTGTCCTCACCACTAGCCTACATTGACCTCACCACTAGCCTACATTGACCCCACCACTAGCCTACATTGACCTCACCACTATCCCACATTGACCTCACCACTAGCTGTGACCACACCACTAACCCACATTGACCTCACAACTAGCACACATTGACCTCACCACTAGCCCACATTGACCTCACCACTAGCTGTGACATCACCACTAGCCCACATTGACCTCACCACGAGTCTACATTGACCTCACCACTAGCCTACATTGACCTCACCACTAGCCTACATTGACCTCAACACTAGCCCACATTGACCTCACCACTAGCACACATTGACCTCACCACTAGCTGTGACCTCACCACTAGCTGTGACCTCACCACTAGCCCACATTGACATCACCACAAGCCCACATTGACCTCACCACGAGTCTACATTGACCTCACCACTAGCCCACATTGACCTCACCACTAGCTTTAACCTCACCACTAGCCCACAATTACCTCACCACTAGCCCACATTGACCTCACCACTAGCCTACATTGACCTCACCACTAGCCCACATTGACCTCACCACGAGTCTACATTGACCTCACCACTAGCCCACATTGACCTCACCACTAGCCGCCATTGATTTCACCACTAGCCTACATTGACCTCACCACTAGCCAACATTGTCCTCACCACTAGCCTACATTGACCTCACCACTAGCCTACATTGTCCTCACCACTAGCCTACTTTGACCTCACCACTATCCCACATTGACCTCACCACTTGCCCACACGGACCTCACCACTAGCTGTGACCTCACCACTAGCCTACATTGACCTCACCACTAGCCTACATTGACCTCACCACTAGCCTACATTGAATTCATCACTAGCTTACACTGGCCTCACCATATTGACACCACTTCGTGACCTATCTGTATTGACCTCTTCAGCATGTTGTATTAAACTCTTGTCCAGGCCATAGACTTCTCTACCAGCCTATACTTACCTCTGCGTCTACCCAGGCTAGATGCGCCTTTGGAAATTATGTGCCCCATTTTACCCTACACATGAAATTTTCTAAATCAATGTTCAACTCTAGAGTATTATACTGACCTGATTACAGTATTAGACACGTGACTGGGGCAATGACATAAAATAACTTAAAATACCTTTTGTCTACATTATACCAGAACTGACCTACAAATGTAAACGTTATAGAAACAAGTATAAGAAAGTGAAGTTTTTATATATTGCTTCAAATAGCCATACATTAGCCAGCACAAACGTCCCGAACAATCAAAGACATCGGTTTTTATGTGATTGAAAAAATTAGATGAATTATCAATGATACGATTTTATTTTTGTGATTGAAAAATTAGACGAATTATCAATGACACGATTTTATTTTTGTGATTGAAAAATTAGACGAAATATCAATGATATGATTTTATTATGAGAACGATGATAAATACATATACAGTAACACATTAGACCCTGACATACAGCAATAGGGTTAAAAATTTTACACTTTGTACACAATACATAGACCAACTATAGAATTGTAGGTTCTGTTCTTTGTCGTAATGACTAGGTTCTTGTCTTGGTCAAATTGAATAGGTTCTGGATTTGATCCAATTGAATAGGCTCTGGAATTGTCGAATTGACCAAGTTTAGGTCTTGGTCATAATGACTTGCAGCTTTAAGCACTCTGTCCTAGAACTCTACTTACGACACAACATCGTCATTTTTTTGTCATTGAGTCTATTCTCGACCTCCAGTGACACTGGTCATTTTTGTGGTCATTTTGTACGTAGTCTGTTTTTCTGACCTTTTATTTCACAAGTGAATGGGTGGTTTTAGTTTTCTTATGTTCATTTTCTTAGCTCCACAGACTAATTCAAAACAGCTATTGTGTGGTGTTTGTTAGTTGTAGTGTATTTCACACTTCGACAGGTGAATATGAACTTTTGCCTAGTTCAGTTTGTTATAATGTACGGCCATCATGACAACTCATGTATGGACATTGTTTCATGTACGAACATCTTCTAATCTCATTTATGGCCTTCATAGCCAGTATAGGCCATCGCATCGTCTTTTTTACGGCCATCGTGGCTTGTGTAGTCATCGTGGCAACTCTTGAATGGCCATCGTGGCTTGTGTAGTCATCGTGGCAACTCTTGAATGGCCATCGTGGCTTGTGTAGTCATCGTGGCAACTCTTGAATGGCCATCGTGGCTTGTGTAGTCATCGTGGCAACTCTTGAATGGCCATCATGTGGACTATGGCCGTCGTTTCCTGTTTAGCCATCCTGTAAACGGTATGGCCATCCTGTAAACGGTATGGCCATCCTGTAAACGGTATGGCCATCCTGTAAACGGTATGGCCATCCTGTAAACGGTATGGCCATCCTGTAAACGGTATGGCCATCCTGTAAACGGTATGGCCATCCTGTAAACGGTATGGCCATCCTGTAAACGGTATGGCCATCCTGTAAACGGTATGGCCATCCTGTAAACGGTATGGCCATCCTGTAAACGGTATGGCCATCCTGTAAACGGTATGGCCATCCTGTGAACTCTATGGCCATCCTGTAAACGGTATGGCCATCCTGTGAACTCTATGGCCATCCTGTGAACTGTATGGCCATCCTGTGAACTGTATGGCCATCCTGTGAACTGTGTGGCCATCCTGTGAACTGTATGGCCATCCTGTGAACTGTATGGCCATCCTGTGAAATATGGCCTTTATGTGAACTGTATGGCCATCCTGTGAACTGTATGGCCATCCTGTGACCTGTGTGGCCATCCTGTGAACTGTATGGCCATCCTGTGAAATATGGTCATTATGGGAACTATGGCCATCGTGTAAACTCTTATATGGCCATCTTCTAAACTACGTGTTCTGAATGGGCATCATGTCCTGTATGGCCAACGTGTCACCTGTATGGCCAACGTGTCAACTATGGTCATCACGTAGGCCATCTTGTATGGCCACATTGTGTTCTAACACAGAAATGAGGCCATCCTATCCAGCGGCGAGCGCCTATCTCAGGGCCAACGATGGATACAGTTTTAAAGAACCTGATCAAACGAGGCCAGACCATTGCTCTGTATCAATTCAAACTTAGCAGACGTCACTTTCGCCTCAGGGGTAAAAAAAGTGAAGTGACTTCGTGATTGGGTAGACGATATCACGTGATCGGACAGACGACGCTATCACGTGACCTGGAGAGAAAAAACGAGGCGGTCACCTGACCGGATGTTTACACGGACTCGCCATTGTCCAGGTCGTCGTTGTCGATGACGCGGTGGTTGGTCAGGGCCGGGTAGGTGACGTCATGGACGCGGAGGATGCGGCTAGCGCTGTGGTTGCTGTTGTTGGTGGGCTGGCGCACCATGCGCGTGCTGTGGAACCACGTGCTCTCGTGGTGCAAGGGCGTGTTCTCGCGCCGCATGCAGGAGAACACGTTCCGGAACTCTTTCTTGAACTTTACTGAGGGGAGAGAAGAAAAATTGTTTTAGGTTGAGAGTTACTTCCCTTTTGGAACTAAATTTGTCATCGGCATTATGAAAGAAATAGTATGGTCACTAATACTATGTTTATCTTCCTATCCCTAACTTGACCCAGGTACACTTTAAAACTGAATGAACACACAATGCATCTTCAGATTCAACCTCAAACAAACCTTCGGGTTTGTTTTCTACCGCAAGATTTATTGGCAATTTTTTAAGAGTGATAAAAGAATTAAAAACACCGAGGTAAAATTAAACCAATTTCCCGTTTTAAATCTAGACACTAGCGTCAAGTAGTTCGACTTTAGGGCGACACGATCGTAGCGTGCTGAAGTCCATTAATTCATTCAGCACAAAAGTTACGTTCAGTTGTCGTCCATTTTAAAAGTGCCAGGACTCTAAAACGTTTTCTTTTGTAGACAAGAATAAAATGTTGATCTAGACTAAGAATTTCAGCTACTTTTTAAACGTGGCCACAAGAACAAAATTCCTGCGAAGGGCGAACACTTTGATAGGGCATACATATATATTGTGTGTATACGTGTATTGTCATTGAAAAACCAACTCATTAAATCATAGGTTAAAAAACTTACTTATAGATATAATAACTAACTTCAAAATGTTACAAATATAACAACTTACCACTCATAAAGTTATATTTACCACTCATTATGTTATAGGTATAATACTTTACCACTCTTAAAGTTATAAAAACTAACCACTCATTATGTTAGGGATATAATAGGTATAATACCTTAGCACTCTTAAAGTTATAAGTATAACAACTTACCACTCTTAAAGTTATAGTTATAACAACTTACCACTCATAAAGTTATAACAACTTACCACTCATAAAGTTATAGTTATAACAACTTACCACTCATAAAGTTATAACAACTTACCACTCATAAAGTTATAAGTATAACAACTTACCACTCATAAAGTTATAACAACTTACCACTCATAAAGTTATAAGTATAACAACTTACCACTCATAAAGTTATAAGTATAACAACTTACCACTCTTAAAGTTATAGTTATAACAACTTACCACTCATAAAGTTATAGATGAGCGGGTTGAATGCGCTGTTGATGTAGCACAGGAGATGGGCACACATGAAGACTACAGGCAAGATGGACGACTCGTTGTACGCCTCTAGGACACCAGCTTGTCTGGGGAACGAAACCAGACTAGGCATGTTAACATTTTAGGTGTGTTAACATTTTAGGTGTGTTAACATTTTAGGTATGGTAACATTATAGGTGTGTTAACATTTCAAGTGCGGTAACATTTTAAGTGCGGTAACATTATAGGTATGGTAACATTTTAGGTGTGTTAACATAATAGACATTATACCATCATAGGCAAGCTACCATCATAGTCAAGTAAACATTATAGGTATGTTAACATTATAGGTATGTTAACATTATAGGTATATTGACATAGACAAGTGAACATAATAGGCAAGTTAACATTCTAGGTATCTTAACATTATAGGCAAATTAGCATCATAGACTAGTTAACATTATGGGTATCTTAACATTATAGGCAAGTAACCGCCATAGGCAAATAATTGACATCCCATGGGCCACAACGTAAATATAACCTTAAATCCTCCCTTAAATGTTTATCTGCTTTCGGCCGATTGGCACCTGCAATGGCATGGCTTAAAAACATTTTGTTTTAGAAACTCTTACCTCCGTTCAACCTACGACCTACCTAGTCAACCGTTGTAAATTTGGTTAAGACCTAATCTACTTCAGTCTACTTGAAGGACCTAACCGTTGACCATGTTGATGTCTACCTCTGATACTGCTAAAACTGAGATTGTCAAACTTCTGTCTATATCACACGGGTACAAGCTGATAATCCCGGATTACTTGAAAAAAGAACCAATCCATTATGAACACAATTCATCAAAGATATTGCTGGCACAATGGGTAAGGCGGAAGCTAGAGTAAAACAACAACACAAAGTCGGGAAAAATTGCTAGTGCGTGCGGTGTAAGGTCAAACAATATCACGGATATTTTCCCCCTTTTGTTGTTGTAGTATAATAGTGTGTTGTTGTAAGCACGCACCGGTTGCATTGTTTCGTCCGGTTTTATTTCGTTATTTTTTTCCCGTTTTTTTTTTTTTAAAAAAAGAGCAAGGAGATATTGATAGTGTTCTAGTCTTTTTATGACAACAACAACAGCAACAAAAAATAATTTTAAAAATGAAAAAAAAAATACTTTAAAAAAATAAAACATTAATTGAGTTAAAATCTTTTAGAGGAGGCATTTTTATTAAAAATACAATAAACGATTCGTTTTCTACTTTACCTTAAAAAAATTGCAACATTGCGAAAAGCTAGCCCTAGCATTGGGATGTGTTTCGATGATCGATTTAGTGTGCCAAAATCAATAAAGACAGGGGTGACGACATCATGACAAATGCTGCCTTAACACTTCATGGGCTACTGAGGTAAGATTGTCTGGCCCTAGTGTCTGATGAGCCGTTAGAGCCAGATTGTGTGGGCCCTAACATGAGCACCGATAGGCCATCGGGGCCAGATTGCGTGGGCCATAATATTAGAATCTTATTGGCCATTGGGACCAAATGGTGTGGCCCCTAATATAAGTGGTGGTCGAATGTCTATGCAACAAAATAACTAATTAATATGACTAAGCATACAATCTTAAAGTAAGTCATTTCCGTAAATTAATCAATAAATTTTTGAAATTTTGAATACTTGTTTCTTTTTTTTTTTTAAATGAGAAAAAAACGAGTTTTCCGCCGCCGACAGCAACTTTTGCCAAAAACAGCAAGTCGCATATTATATGCTGTAGAGATAATATGGGCTTAATTACCTACAAACATTGGTTTGACAACCTGAATATTGTTGCTTGTTCTGGAACCGAACCTACAAATTCCCATACGCGAAGGCACAGGTTCCAAAAGTAAAATAATGTTTTGTTTTCGGTGCTATCAGCCGTGTTATATCCCTCAAATGTGTCCACATTTGTTTACAAGTACTTAAAAAGTTGAATTCTTCTGAACGTGTTCAAATATTTAATAACAGGTACACATTTTACCCTTTATAAAACTACACCCACACATAAATTATGTGTATAAATAGCTATTGTATACACACATACAAAACATGCTTGTTTACAAATTTGCCTAGTTATCTCGCTGCGGTGATGCAAGCCTATCCGTTTAATAAATGCGGCTCAACGTACTCCAGTGTGAGTGGGCAGACATTATGCCAACAAACGATCACGGAAACGTCTTGCCATTCCTCTGCGGCTGCGCACATGGAGGCCTCTGTATTTCCGGCGGAAGGACACGCCACCCGCGTGGCACGGAAATGAGAAGAAAGCTCCCATAATCCACTCAGCTCGCGAGGTTATTCCATCTCCCCCCCCCCCACCCCGGTGGGAATGTCACAATTAAATCCTACAAAAACATCGCTGCTAATGGTTGTTTATTATTTTATCCTTATCTATAAAATTTATCCCTAATAAATCCTTACAAAAAGAATTGCAATTTTAAAAATAAAACAATTGCCATACTGCTCACCATATATCTTATTTTATATCTATATATCTTATTTTATAGACGTACTAGCCGTCCCAGCCAGGCCCTGCTCTGGCTTCTGTGAAAAACCTTTCTGTAAAGACCATTACCTGTGTGTTTATCAATCTTCATAAACCCGGCATTGCCCACCCAAACCACAACCAACCAAAACCTAAACAACAAAACGCAAACATAACGCTAACACAATTACAAATACAAACGAAAACAAAAACCTAACAACAAACCCAACCACAACCACAAACACCAATACGAACACAAAGAAAAAAAAACGAAAAAGCAAACGAAAACAAACCAAATCCAAACGCAAAACCAACCACAAACACAAATACAAACCCAAAGAAAAAAGCACAAACGAAAACGAAAAAAGAAAGAACAAAAACGAACCAAATCAAAACGCAACCACTAACGCAAACCCAACCTAAACACAAAGAAAACAGTAACGCGAACATAAACGCAAAGTGCTCACAGTCTAGCCCGGGGCGGAATTGCCTGTTTCAGCTTAATAGTACCCCAACTTATTCATAGTCTTTTGCACTTACTTAAACGAACGTAGGCGCCAAACCGAACATGGGAGGCCCGGGGCCCTAAATAGCACCCTGTCTGGGCACCAGAGGACGCCCGGATTCGATTCACTTAAAGACTATAGTAACCTTTCTTATCCATACTCTATCGCACTGTTTAAAGCGAAATTATGCACCATAGCGCTCACAGGATAGCCCAGAGCGCCAAATTGAACCCTAGTGGGGCGCCGGCGGACGCGCCTGTTTCAATTTAATTAACAATTATAATACTCCAAGCTTAACCGTAAAATACCTACAACATTTGCACTTGATCAATCCCCGCTAATAATGTAATTATTTTTTTCCCAACACCAAAACAAAGTAATAAAAAGTAAATTCTTTTCCACTAATGCGATGTTTTATAAAGGGAAGTAATTGTGTTTTCCTAATTTATCAAAGGGAAGTAAGTGCTAAAGGACTAAATATAAATAATTTTCAGACATAATTAGAATTTTTGTAAAAGATTATAATTTTTTAAAATTGTGTTTAATGAACATGCCGACAATTATTACTATCAGTTTGAAAAATGAAAATTATTTCCCAACACTTTCAATAGTAATTTTTTAACTCATAAATTTAGACTATGAGTACGATAATAAGCTAACACTTAAATCCATCGAAGTATGTCAACGACAAACTTATTACATGTTACATACAGAATTGAGCTTTATATATTTTAGATTATTCTCACAAATTTGTCACAATTATAATACTCTATAATACATGTACAACACACTCACAAAAACACATACGAACAAACTCTCAAATATCAACACGCACACACTGAAACACATCTGGACTTTTAGAATACATGTGCATGAGAGAATAAAACACGCACAAACGCACGCAAAATCACGCACACACACACATAAAGGTATGAACACACGCACTGAAGTACAAACAAACGCACGCACAAATACGCACCAACGCATCCATATAAGCAAACACAAGCACAAAAGCAAAAAACATATACAAACATAAACACTAACGCACACAAACTTAATAACAGCAGAAACAGAAACACACACACACACAACAAACACAATAATCCACCGCTCACCTGAGTATAAAGTTGATGCACACACACACAAACACACACAGAACAAACACACCCATCACTCACCTGAGTATAAAGTTGATGCACGCACACACAAACACAAAACAAACACACCCATCACTCACCTGAGTATAAAGATGAGGTTGATGGGAAAGTAACAGGCCGCGAAGAGTAGGACAATGGCAATCAACATCTTGGCCACTTTCTTCCTCGACGCCAACTGTACCTCAGCGTGTGTCCGGTAACCTTGGTTACTCTCGTGGTCTGCAAACACAAGGTCAAGTTAAGTACTCACACGTTTAGTAATTACAAGTTTAGTCCTCACAAGCTTAGTACTCACAAGTTAAGTACTCACAAGTTAAGTACTCACACGTTTAGTAATTACAAGTTCCACTATAGGTTTATATATAGATCGTGTAAGTTGTACGGCCGTCAAATATTTCAAAAATCCTGTTAAAACACGTTATTAAAAATACGTGATTGTGTTTTTTCTAACTGTACCACAGATTTGAAGTATTTTTAATGCCTAGAGGTACCGCACTGGGCGACACCCCACCTAGCGACGCCATTGCCTAGAGGTACCGCACTGGGCGACACCCCACCTAGCGACGCCACTGCCTAGAGGTACCGCACTGGGCGACACCCCACCTAGCGACGCCACTGCTTAGAGGTACCGCACTGGGCGACACCCCACCTAGCGACGCCACTGCCTAGAGGTACCGCACTAGGTGACACCCGACACCACCGCATGAGTAGAATAAACACATTACTTTTAAATATGCATAGTTTGGTAGTTACTCTTGCCTTTTCCCATTTCCATAATTATATTCCTTAACACAACACTCGCGTGATCTAAATCGCAAGCCCTGAAAACATTTCAGGAAAATGGCCGGTCCATAGGTATACAGTTCATTGAACGGACGAAAAAAATTGGCCAATAATTGGCTGTTTTAAGCCGACAGCTAGTCGACCCAGTCGTAACGTTTCCATTATAACGATGACAAAGGGGAATAACTGTCGACTGCAACAGTAATTAAGGTACGAAAATTAGCCCCCCGAAAGTCACAATTACTGCGAGACTAAGATTATTAGCTGTTTTGTTTTTCGGTAGTTAAGTAAAAAAAAAACGCGCGACATCGAAAAACTGAGTTATTTTTTTTTATTTGGCACAGACTAAGGTAAATGGTGGATAGATTTGTTGTCAGAAATTCATACTGTCCCATCGACATTGTTTCGTGCATGTAAATTAGCTTTGTTTAACATTTGTGTGGGCGACAATAGGGCTCAAGGCTGCCTATCTGTCATTGTTTTTTATATGGAAGTAAGTTTTGTCATAATACATAAATAAATAATTTCTAGTTGTTGTAAAAATGTCTGGAAGAATGAATACGAATTTGTCTTACAATAATCAACTGTTAAGTGTTTTAGAATTGTAAATACATATTTAGTGTATATATAATCTTTATTGTATATATTAATATTATTTATTGAGCGTTGATATCTTAGCATTGCATATTTCACAACCATAAAAATACATATCCACAATATAAATCCACAAGTAGTTTAGCATCTGCGGTAGCTGTTCTAGACAAAAACTAGCATGTAGCACTACATGATTTAGTTTATAACAGTCCCATCTTCAATTACCCCCGGTAATTCCCCACCCCGTCATTACACCCGAAATAATTTCCCCTGTCAATTACCCCCTGTAGAATATCTAGCAATATATATAGTAATATATACATATCCCTAGCAATCCACACAGCTAAACTAAACTGTCCACATATGGCAGAAAACTCTAGATGAAATTTACATCCTTCAAGCATTTTGAGCATTGATTGCGCCATTCCATTAATATATTACCTCCAATTAATTGAAACCCAACATAAGAGAAGGAGAGTCTACAATGTAAAAAAAGAGCAAGAAATAAACATAAGGAAACAGAACATGTTTTAAAGTTGTTATTTTGACTTTTAGATTTTATGCACTGGAAAATATTCTTGAGTAGGCCTATATCTTTGAAGGCGAACATTACCCTCTGCTGACATCTAGCACACACAAAATTATGAATGTAAATATTTACTAACAGGGTTACATCCTAATTCTATCTTCCAGTGTAACGAAGTTGACAATACTAGCTACGCCGCTGATATTGGGCGCGGGTAACGAAGTTGACAATACTAGCTACGCCGCTGATATTGGGCGCGGGTAACGAAGTTGACAACCCTAGTTACGCCGCTGATGTTGGGCGCGAGTAACGAAGTTAACAATACTAGCTACGCCGCTGATGTTGGGGGCGGGTCAGGTCAAGATCAACATTTAAACAGCCGATATGGACACCTAAAGACAATCACCGAACTTGTTTCTATGTTGGAACCTGCTAGGTGGGCAGGTGAAGTAGAGGATCAGGTGTATCAGCAGGTGTTAGAACAATCAGAGACAGGTAGACTGATGTGGACGCCGGACAGACAGGAAGATCAAAGACTGAGATAAATAATCGGATCGGGACTGACCAGGGAGGGGAGGGGATTATATGGTAGAGGGGATTAACTGGCTCTAGAGCCAGGAGCCGTGTGACAGGCGCCGTGTGACAGGAGCCGTGTGATTGGTGCCGGCTTGGTCGTCACCTGTCAGAGTCCGGTTGACATCTAACGTTGTCAACTTGACAGCAGACAACACGTCGACTTGACATCAGACAACACGTTGACTTGACATCAGACAACAAGTTGACTTGACATCACACTTTACGTAAATTTGGCATCACATCAACTTGACCTCAAACAATGTCAGCTTGACATCCCACATTGTTAACTTGACAAGTTGACATCACACACCACAAAAAGGTGACATCATACATCACGAAAACGAGACATCACACATCACGAAAAAGTGACATCACACATCACGCCAACATCACCATCAAGGCAACATTCCATTAACATCACGGAATCATCGTAAAAAGACAACACCCTAACAAACAGCATCATTCACGTATTGTGTATGTAAAACCCTGAATCTCAAACTAAGTCCAAATTGTGGTTCACGAGATATATTTTGTACTGGTATGCCCCTACTCCCTGCAACCACCACCCGTCTTCTAGTACAATAAGTTCAACGTTTTGTATTTAAGTAGCTTAGTTTTATACCACTCCCCCCACACCCCCCCCCACACACACACACACTTATGTCTACGTCAAACTACCGTATTTGTTCGTACCTCTGGTGCAAGAAGTGCCGGACAGGGTTAAGCGTCTGTCGACCCGGCGATCCGTCTCCTCAGATGATTTTTTTTTGGAAGTTTGTTCTGTGACAAGCTTTGTTTGGATGTGAGGAATGTTCGGCTCGTCCTTAAAGCCGGGCATTCCCACTGGACTTTACACTTTAGAACTTGACATTCCTACTGGATTTCACAGCCGGACATTCCTACTGACCTCACAGCCGGACATTCCTTCTGACCTCACAGCCGGACATTCCTACTAGACCTCACAGCCGGACATTCCTACTGACCTCACAGCCGGACATTCCTACTGACCTCACAGCCGGACATTCCTACTGGACCCTACAGCCGGACATTCCTACTGGACCCTACAGCCGGACATTCCTACTGACCTCACAGCCGGACATTCCTATTGGACCCTACAGCCGGACATTCCTACTGGATTTCAAAGCCGGACATTCCAATTTGACTTTATACTTTAGAACTTGACATCCCCTTGAATCTCACTGCCGGACATTGCTTTACTTAATAAGCAGAAGCGCTTCTCATAAATGTTTTGTCTTATTTTATACGGAAATAAACCGGGAGTGATCTCCCCTAAACTTTCTCGAATATTCTAATATAACACTATGGGGGATGGCAACTCGGGATGTAGACTTCTAGACATAATTTTTAATCCATTTTAATTACTCAAATTTTTAAAAATAGAATATAATCTCGTAGAAAAAAGAAATGCGCACCAAGTGAACGCTAAATAAAGATGTGCATAATAGTGCGCAATCTTATTAGTACTTTATAAATTTACATGCGTTTTTTTGAGAAATCGGAAATAGCGTAAATAAGTACTTCCGGTCAACGGAAATTACTCAAAATTTGACAGAAGGTAGAGAATTAGATCTTTTACTTACATGTCAAATTTCATTGATCTATCTGAAATAGTACTCAAGTTATAGGCTTTTGAAAAATTCAAAGTAGGAAAAGTACCACTTCCGGTTATCGGAAATCGCTCAAAAGTTGATACGGATCTACGATTTTGATAAAATACTTATATATGAAATTTCATCAACCTAGCTGTAACGGTACTCAAGTTATCGTGTTTACACACGGACACACACACACACACACACACAGAGACATACGGACAAGATTGCAAAATTATGTTTTTCCGTATCAGTGAGATGTAAAACGTCGAGATTTGTAAAAATCTCGATTTTTTTTTTTGCACGATTACAAGACTTTCTCTATACTTCGTATATACGAGAAAGTAAAAAAAGTAAAACGTTTTTTTTTTTAATATGTGCTTTGTAAAATGTATACCATATATTTAAATGTATTGTTGACAAAATTGGAAATTTTAAACACAGTAAAGATTGAGAGGGTGCGCACAGCCCCAGGCGACTCCCTACGTGATGACGCCGCCGACTAAAAGACTATTTCGTGTTTGAGAAACAAAAAATCTATTCTCCCAAGCAAATAGATAATTCTAATTCTCGCCACAACCCTTCCAATATGGTTGGAGTATCTTGCCTTGTTTAGTCAGCCATACATCATAAGGTGTGTTCACTTTGATTGACAGAAGCTTTAAGGAATCTGGGATGTACTCTTTGAGAGTCTACGGCGAGATGTATTATCTGAGAGTCTATGTCAAGATGTTGAAAAAAAACCCCGGATGTCTTATCCGTGATTCTAATAAAAATCTGTGAATCTGAGGATTTTTTTCCAACACAAAATTTAAGGAGTGTGAGTTTTGAAAGGCATGAATAATTTAAACATTAATGACGCCCCCATCCCCCCCCCCCCCCACACACACAAATGTATGCATAATTTATTGAGTAATAAGAACAATATAAACTCCCAAAATAGACGACCCTCCCCAACATATTTTAGGGCCGATCTTAAAATAACCTTTGGTGCTAGAGAACTAAAACTTTATATAACCACTGGTGCTAAAGAACTAAAACTTTATATAACCACTGGTGCTAAAGAAGTAAAACTTTATATAACCACTGGTGCTAAAGAATTATAACTTTATATAACCACAGGTACT